ATATGGTTCAAATATACTAATTTTGTGAGTTAGTAATTAGTACAATGTAAATTATTTTTTGCTATCTTTAAATTATCAATTGTAATTTTTTTATTGGTCATCACCGATTATAATCTTATATTTAACTTATAATTAGTGAGTTATTGAAATAATTAGTATTTATCAAGCTATTAAAATAGAAAAACTTAAAATTTAACAATATATAATAGATATTATATTCTTTTAGTGTAATATTTTGTGTTAAATATGGTTTGAGATTGAAACAAAATTATGACACTAAAACACCAAATTTGGTGTAACTTTAACACCAAGTATAATGTCATGGTTGGAGTTTCTCTAACGCACTTCACATATTGACAAGAAAAAAGTTTAGTTATACATGTCAAGTGTCAACACACAATTAATTCATTATAAATGAATGTGAATAACTATTTTCATAACAAATGTTGATTTGGGATTTTACTTTTGTTTCACAAACAAAGAATATTGATTTATTTTTAACCTAAATCTCAATATTATCCCTACAATTTCATCTCATTAATTAGAGGGAGAAATTGTTTAGTGTATTAACAAAAAGTATTATAAAAATTAAAGTAGTTTTCTAAAAAAAGTCTATGAAATGCTAGAACAAAAACTGTTGATAAAAAATTTCTACAAAAAGGACTTCTGATAAAAAAATATGTAAAATTTTATAACTTAAATATTATGTAATTCTTATCAATTCAAATAGATTAGTTTTATACTTCCTTTTATTATAATAGTATTAAAATATCCATTTTTTTATTGATCATTGGATTTAACATTTGAAAAAAAAAATCAGTTATTATTATCTATTATCGTGTCTAGTTACTTGGTTAATTTTGAAATAAAATCCAAACTAATTTTGAAATTCATAGTAACATCGTCACCAATCAAAATCAACCACAATCAAAAGTACTTCCTCTGTTTCAAAATATAAGTTGTTTTACTTAAAAACACGCATATTAAGAAACTACTTTTCTACTAAAAAGTATCATTTAATATATCTAATAAAAATAATTTGACCAATCACATAAAAGATTGCAAAATATTAGTAGTCACACAATATTCAATAAAGTTAAAAAGTACCTAGTATTGTCAAAATAACTTACATTTTGAAACAAAAAAAATAGCTAAAACAGCTTATATTTTGGAACAAATGGAGTAATTCATTAAACGACCATGTTTCGATTGACTTACTATTAATTTTTTTGTTCACAAGTTTCCCAAAAAAAAACTTTTTTGTTCACGGTTTGCTACAATTACTACTCCCTCATATGAAAACAATATTAAAAGTCAACTTTCTGTTGTAAATGAATTGAATAATCTACTAGTACGACTAAAAAAAAGAATAATCTATTAGTATAACACGAATGCTTGTTACTTGCTTTCTTTTCAAACGATAATTCATTTTAAATATTTTTAACTAGTGCATGAAAACGAAAGTCTTTTTATTTCCAAATCGGCCGACCAATTATTTTTTTGTGCGGCGATTTTGTAAAAGCCCCTTTTGTGTATCGTCGTAGGACCGTGAAATTCACTTTTGTGGCCACGACTCGATTGGCTTATTTTATATCATCGATTGGCTACAAACAATGGTTATACACTTATACTTATACATTAGACGTTTCAAGTTTATTTTCTCTTTTATGTTGCTCCATAACAAGGAAATATACGATAGTACAATGTTTCCTAAATATTTCATGTGCTACATATATATAATCGATTTCATTAT